AAGCAGAAGAAAGTGAACTTAGAGGTCAATTGAAGTGATTCAGTCGGAGAAGCAGGAAGAAAAATAAGAAGCCTGTGGGACACGGTCAAACATATATGCATAATGGGAGTTTCAACTGGAGAGGAAAGAGAACAGGTCAGAAAGAATATTTGAAGAAATAATGATCAGAAACTTCCCAAACTCGTGTACGACATAAATCTACACATCCAATAAGCTCAACAAACAACAGGAGGATAAATGCAGAGATTCACACCAAGGCACAACATGTAAATCAAATTGTCAAAAGACAATCTTGGAAGCAGCCATAGGAGCTTTGACTCATCATGTACTAGGGATCTACAATAAGATTAACAAAAAGGAAAACCTACAGTTCTCCTTCTGTTTGTGGAAAAAAACAGTTCTTCCCTACTGTGTGCTTCCTCCCTGTGACTGTCCTTCACTACTCACACAGGACACTTCAATTTTGACACTTCTGGTCCGCAGTTGTGTGGAGGTTTTCCCCCACAACAAGCAATTCTCTGCAACACCAGCTGGGTATCCTACAGTTTAACTCAATTCTGACACAAATCTACCTGGAGGTAGTATCAGATCCCACAGGTTTAGGGCTCAGTCCCACAAGACTGTTACCACACCACTTCAGATGCCAATCACAAGTAGTATGTCACCAGGTTACCTACAACTTCTGTTCTGATTTTGCTACAAGTTGGTTCCCACAATCTACTCCTCAGGCTTGATTAATTTGCTAGAATGGCTCACATACCTCAGGGAAACACTTAATTTACCAGCTTATTAAAGGATATGACTAAAGGACGCAGATGAATGGCTAGATGAAGAGATACATAGGTCAAGGCTTATGGGAAGGGGTGCAGAGCATCCATGTCGTCTCTTGGCACACCACTCTTCCCACACCTCCACCTGTTCACTAACCTGGGTCTTACAAACCCCATACTTTGGGGATTTGGGGGGAGGCTTCATCATATAGGCATGATAAATCATTAACTCCACATTTCAGTCCAACAGAACGTGGGGATTAAACGGAAAATTTCAAGCTCCTGTTCATGGCTTGCTCTTTCCCATGACCAGCCCTCATCCAGGAGCCACCCAGAGTTGCCTCATTAGAACAAAAGCCTCTCCAATCACCCAGGGAATTACAAGGGTTTCAGGATCCCTGTGTCAGGACCCACGGTCAAAGATCAAATCTTAGGACAAAAGATGATCCTTAGGAAATTACAAGTGTTTCAGGAGCTCTGTGCCAGGGATCAGAGACCAAGATACATATTTTCTCACAATATCCTGCAATACCCATTTCTCATCAGAAACCACGGAATCCAGAAGCCCATGGGATGACATTTACAGTTCTGAAATTTTTTTTTAAACCTGTTAACCAAGAATCCTATATTCAAAACAATCCTTCAAAAGTGAAGGAGAAATTAAAACATGCCCAAATAAACAAATGCTGAAGGACTTCACTAGTAGACGTGCCATACAAGAAATACTAAAGGAAGTCCTTATGGTAGAAGTGAAGGGACACTAGACAGTATCTTGAACCCAAATGAACTAGTAACACTTGTAAAATAACTACATAGGTAAATATTAGTGAAGTAATACATAGGTAAATACTATAAAAGCCAATATTCATTATTGGCTTGTAACTCCCATATAACTTAAAAGAATATGCCTGAAATAATAATTATAAATCAATGTTAATGGGTAATCAACGTGAGCATAACGATGTAATTTGTGACAACAAAAACAGTAAGGGAAAAAGGGCTGTATGGGAGCCGAGTTTTTCTGTACTATTGAACCTAGTTTGGTATTAATTCAAAAGGAATTGCAACCCATTTAAGAATGTACTCTGAGTACCCTCAGATTAACCACTAAGAAAATAACTTAAAAAGCACAGAAAAGGAAATGAGAAGGAAATCAAAACATTACACTACAAAAAAAATTAGGCACAAAACATGGCATTAATGGAGGAATTGAAGAACAAAAAGGACATGTAGAGAAACGGAAAACAAGCAGCAAAGTGAAGCAATCTTCCTGATCAGGAATTATGAATGTGAAGAGATTTCACAATTCATTTAATTATAAGGCAGAGCTTGGCAAAATGATTAAATAACATGATCCAACAATATGCTTCCTACAAGTGACTTGCTTCAGAGCTAAATATACAAACAGATTGAATGAAAGGAAGAAAAAAGATATACCATGCAAACTGTAACCAAAATAGAGCTGCGTAGCTACACTCATCAGACAACATAGACTTCATGTAAAAAAAATTCATGAGACAAAGATATTGTATATTTATAACTCCACTTTCAGTAATGCATACAACAACCAAATAGCATATCAATAGAGAGGACTTAAAAACACTATAAACCAAATATATAACATATATATGTAGCACCCCATCTAAAATCAGCACATTTTTTCTTAAGAGGTTGTAGAATACTGAACAAGATAGACCATATATTAGGCCACAAAAGAGGTCTCAGTAAATTTTAAAAAGATAAGAATCATACTAAGTATATTCTCTGACCACATGGAATGAAACTAGAATCAACAACTGGAGGAAAACTGGAAACATCACAACTATGTGGAAATTAAACAACACACCCTTAAAAGCCAACGGAGGAAAAAAAAAAATCACAGGGAAATTGTAAAAGACTGAGATGAAAACGTAGGTCCACAGTGGTAAAGAAAGTTCTCAGGGCTGTATTTTTCAATAAAAGATGGTTGATCCACCTTTTCTAGAATTTACTCAGCCTGGGAGGCGGGGCAGCTGCTGCTGTGGGTCCTCTGGGTGCCCCTTTGCCTCCCCGTCCAGACCACTGCCACTGCTCGGTCCTGGCCATTCTGGGGCTGGCCCTGTTCACCTCATCCCCAGCTCTCGCGGGAGCCCAGGGTTCTGTGTTCAGTCAGATGTAACTGTAATGTGATTACCATCACATATGGATAGAAGTCCAGGGAAAACCCACAGCCCTTGCCACAGCATTTCTTTTCCTTGAAATCTGAATAAACAGATAATTTGCTTTTCCTGACTGAACACTCCCTCTCACCCTCCCTTATTCCCTCCCTCCCTACCTTTCTCTCTCTTTCCTTTTTATTTATCGTTTGGTAGGCGACAGAATTAAAATCAACTGTGGATTCTTCAAAGAAATGGATATATTACCTCACACATAATCTATTTACTCTGCATATGAAAATCCATTTGTTCCTATACCAGTTGCTGAAAATTGTCCTCATTCCCCACTACCTTACAGCACCACATTTTAAGAAAATCAGTAATCTACATATGACTAGATGTATGTATGAGCTCTCAAATCGCTTTGATTGGTCTATTTTTCAATACTTTTGCCAATACCACACCTCTTGAGTTAACATAGCTTTGCAGTGAGTCTTGATGTTTGGTAGAGGATGTCTTCTCATTTTGTTCTCTTTTAGCGTGTCTTGGCGGCTTTCAGCAAGGGTAATAGGAGATCCAAACAGAACCACCCATGAGGTATTCTTTCTTAAAAAAAAAAAAAACCTGTATCAACCTCTAATTCTAACCACTGATCTATAAAAATATGGAGAAATATTTGCGACAGGATGAACGAAACTGGAGGGCCATTATGCTAAGTGAAATAAGCCAGACAAAGACAAATATTGCATGGTATCACTTGTATGTGGACTTTAAGGGGGGGAAAAAAGAACTCACACAAACAGTAGACTGTGGTGGTCACCTGGGAATATGGGGAGAGGTTGGTTAAAGGGTACAAACTTTCAGTTATAAGATGAATAAGGGCTAAGGATCTAAAGCATAACATAGTGACTATAGATGATAGTCCTGTTATTTTATAATCAAAATTTCCTGAGAGAACAGGTCTTAGAGGTTCTCACCAAGGGAAGTGGGAAAGTTAACAAAGATGATGGATGTGTTAATTTGATTATGGGAATCCTTTCACAAAGTATATGTGTATCAGTTCATCATATACATTTTGACTATATTACAATTTTGCCAATATACCTGTAGCTTTATTATACCTCAATAAAGGTGAAAATAAAGCAGTTGAATTTACTATGGCTATATGAGCAGGATGCCCCACTTCCACACCTGCTTTTGAATAATCATGGCTTGTTTATTTCAATCACCTTGTAGAAAAATAAAACATTCCATTGTACTTATGATGTCAAGAGAAGACTTGGGTATAGATGAGATGTTGAAGATGAACTAAAGGAAGAAACATTTTCAAGATATATTCCAGGCTTTTCTCTTTCAAATTACAATTATTTCCTTCACTTCCTTGCCAGTGCTACTTTTCATTTGCCAGAGAACCCTACATTTTCAAAATGAGCGATTAAAACCAACAGAAGTGGGAAACTTGTTTTGTGGCCTCGTCAGAAGTTACTTTTCCTTCTTGTGAGTCCTTAGCGTCTTAGAAAAGCTCATGGCCAGGTAAATATTGTCAGAGGTCTAGATGCGCCAAGGCGCAATAGCATCAACTCAAGTTTGAGATCCTTTATTCGCCTTTCTCTCCTATATAGCCACATTTACTTTTCAGTCACCCTTATTAGTACTGTAATTAAAAACTTTTTTTAAGGGGCGAAGGAAAAGAAAAAAGAAATGTCAAACGCCTACAGCGCCTGAGAACTGACTGAACCTTACCATCTTACACTACTCATTAAAATAGATTCAAAAAGTGACAAATGGAGAAGACAAGTAGTGATTCTACAGCATCTTACTGCGCTGATGGACAGTGACTGTAATGGGAGTTGTGGGGGGGACTTGCTGAAGGGGGGAACCTAGTAAACGTAATGTTCCTCATGTAATTGTAGATTAAAGATACCAAAAAAAAAAAGTGACAAATGGTACAAGGGATGTCTTGCCGAGGATTCTGGGAAGTGCAGTTTAGGAGCGCCGGGTAAACAGATCCACTTCCGCTCTGCAAGGGAGGAGTGTAGCCCTTTTCTGCTGGGGATTCTGGGAAGTGTGGTTCCGGAGCCGCGCGCAGTCCGGACACTTCCGCTCGAGGCGGACGAGGCCGCGTCAGGACCCCTATGGGAGGTGAGTGTGGCGAGCACCTGGGTGTCTGTTGAGTTCTCCCGGGATTGGGACCCGCACGTTCCTCCCTCGCACTGGGGAGCTAGAAGCCGCAGAGGGCAGGGTGGCGGTTTACGCCACCTTTTACGTTCCGGGCGGGCTCGTGATCTCCAGGTCTGAGCGTCCTCCGCGCGCCACGCTTCCCTCGCCTCCCCGTCCGCCCCGCGTTTTGCGCGCTCTGCCGCCTAGCGAAGTAATCTTCGTAGCGGTGTTTTATTTCTCCGCTTGTCCCCTGTAAAGTGGCGTTAGTAGTAGTACCTCCCTAGTAGGCGTGTTGTGAGGTTTACGTGAAATAAGTGTACGAACGCTTAGCGCCGGTCCTGGCGCCCGCTAAGAGGTGGCCGGGTGTTAGCAGTCTTTCCAGAAGTGCCCAGACCCTGAAAGCCTCTGAACCAGCGGTGGGTTCTGAGCTCCCTGCAGCGCCGCTGGCCCTTCTCTGACCCGCGCGGGAAGCCCCACGCCCCCCACCCCCATTTTTTTAAAGGAAGGAGTGGGTCTCCCCACCAGCTTGTGCCTGGGGATGTCCACCGTGATTTATCTTGGACCAGAGGCACAGTTGTGGTTGAATCTCCCAGCCTCCTTTCCTTTCTCCTCCCTTACTTCTCTTAGAGGGTGCAGAGAGGAGGGAGTGACGCCCTGGCTCCTGGTAACATTATCCCAGCGTGATGGAACTGAATATGCTGTGATAATTTTTGCACTTATTTGGGGAACAGACTTCCTTCACTCCTTAGCAGATTTTCTCTACCTAGCAAATGTTCAAATAGTTATAGAATAAACGGGAGGTTGAATGAGAGATGTGTTGATGAATGAATAATAATTGTTCACATGTTGAGTACCAAATACTCTTCTATAGATTATATATGCATTAATTAGCTTAACCCTCATAACACACAAAGATACTCTTACTATCTGCATTGTACAGATGAGAACATTGATAGGTGAAGAATTTGTTATTTTTCCCAAAGACAAACAGTGGGACAGAGACAGAACCGAGAATTTGAACCCAGGCATCCTGGGTTCTTGACCTTTATGCCGTAGGCTCCTTCAGCCTTAAAATGGTAATCTCTCTGACTGAAGGAGGGAGGGTAATTTGGTAATAATTGGGAAGCTTCAAGGACCTACTTATTTAATTAATTGTTATTTTATATGACATGTTCATATTCTGATTATACATGTGACTCGTGCTCATCAGAAAATTTGTGAAATAGATGAGGAAAACCAAAAATTATTCATAATCCCAGGAAGTATTGATAATTGTAAACATGTTAGTGAAGTAGTACCTCCCTAGTAGGCGTGTTGTGAGGTTTACGTGAAATAAGTGTACGAACGCTTAGCGCCGGTCCTGGCGCCCGCTAAGAGGTGGCCGGGTGTTAGCAGTCTTTCCAGAAGTGCCCAGACCCTGAAAGCCTCTGAACCAGCGGTGGGTTCTGAGCTCCCTGCAGCGCCGCTGGCCATTCTCTGACCCGCGCGGGAAGCCCCACGCCCCCCACCCCCATTTTTTTAAAGGAAGGAGTGGGTCTCCCCACCAGCTTGTGCCTGGGGATGTCCACCGTGATTTATCTTGGACCAGAGGCACAGTTGTGGTTGAATCTCCCAGCCTCCTTTCCTTTCTCCTCCCTTACTTCTCTTAGAGGGTGCAGAGAGGAGGGAGTGACGCCCTGGCTCCTGGTAACATTATCCCAGCGTGATGGAACTGAATATGCTGTGATAATTTTTGCACTTATTTGGGGAACAGACTTCCTTCACTCCTTAGCAGATTTTCTCTACCTAGCAAATGTTCAAATAGTTATAGAATAAACGGGAGGTTGAATGAGAGATGTGTTGATGAATGAATAATAATTGTTCACATGTTGAGTACCAAATACTCTTCTATAGATTATATATGCATTAATTAGCTTAACCCTCATAACACACAAAGATACTCTTACTATCTGCATTGTACAGATGAGAACATTGATAGGTGAAGAATTTGTTATTTTTCCCAAAGACAAACAGTGGGACAGAGACAGAACCGAGAATTTGAACCCAGGCATCCTGGGTTCTTGACCTTTATGCCGTAGGCTCCTTCAGCCTTAAAATGGTAATCTCTCTGACTGAAGGAGGGAGGGTAATTTGGTAATAATTGGGAAGCTTCAAGGACCTACTTATTTAATTAATTGTTATTTTATATGACATGTTCATATTCTGATTATACATGTGACTCGTGCTCATCAGAAAATTTGTGAAATAGATGAGGAAAACCAAAAATTATTCATAATCCCAGGAAGTATTGATAATTGTAAACATGTTAGTGTATTTCTCTTTAGTTGTTTCTATGTAGGCGTATTTTTTACATGGAGACTAGATTAAGAGCACCAGCTCTGGAGGCAGGCAGTCTCACCTCAGCAGCGCTGTGACCTTCAGTAACCTGATTTCATGAATCCTCAGCTTCCTCATCCATCATCAAGTTATCACTTAGAGTTTATACAGGGTGCCAGGCACTGAGCCAAGGCCTGCTTTTTCTCTTATTTTTAAACCTGAGATGCAATTCACACATCATCTGATTCACCCTTTTAGGGTATTCACTTCCTGGTTTTTAATATAATCGCAAGGTTGTAGAACTGTCACCATTGTGTAGTTCCAGAACATTTTTATCACACCAAAAAGAAAGCCTTCACCCCTCGCTCCCCGCTCTTCCAGCCCCTGGCAACCGCTAGTCTCTGTATCCATGGATTTGCCTAGCCAGGGTTACTGGACTCGCTCATTTAATCCCAGAGCTATTTGTAAGTTAGGATCTGTTGTTACTACTACAGTATTATTTAAGTGAGACAGTCTGTCAAAATTTTGTTTCAAATGAAAAAAACTAGCAGTCATAATTTTAACTAGCTTTTCTTTACTACAGTGAGCGTGGAAAGGGAGATGTACCATTGAGACTTCAGCCTAAATGAAGAAAATTCACAAGCATCTATATCTTTTACAAAACCAGATACTGATGTCAAATATCATTACAGGACAACAAATAAGTAAACAGCCAATCAGAATTATGGACTTCCCAGAAATAGGTGAATTTCTTAAGACAGAACATTGTACAGTCTGAAATCTGGATGTTATGGAAGACTCCTTTATTGGCATAGATGGCAAAAGACTTGCAAAGACACGTTTATGATGTATAATACCACCTGCTTTTCTGCAGCTGCGGGGAAATCAGTTGTAAGGGTTTCCATCTATTCACACTTGTCCCTCACAGGGAAGCACTGTTATTCTCATTTTGCAGGTGACAGATTGGAGGCACAAAAAGGCTAATTCGTAGCAGTACCGGCATTTGGCCCCAGACCTTTGGGCCTCAGAGTTCACTCTTCTATCCAATGAATTCCACGGTCTTTCATTTCCCACTGTACCCACCGTGAGAGTGCTGACCTCAGGGGACCCTTGTGTTAGCCTTGCTGCCGAGAGATGGGCAGGTGCTTCACTGCACGAGGGTCCCTGGCTGAGGGGCTAGTGCTGTGTGCGGAAGGAGGGGTCACTTTTTAAGATTCACGCAGAGCAGCCATGTGGTTCAGGGCCTACCTCTCATGGCTTTTCCTCTTTGCCAGCTCTGCATTGCCAGGCCTCGGCCCTTCCCCAGAAAGAGCAGGAGAAAATGACCGAGTTTCAGGTGAGTTGAGTTTCGATTTTTCTCTTAAAATTAGAGAGAGAAAATTTTAGCTGGTCTCAAAAATTAGATGTGTCTGTTCTCTCTTCCCTAGGTAAGAGGGAGGAAGAAAGCAGGTGTTCATCAGGTGCCAATCACTTGCTTTTTTATTGGTTCAATTTTTGTTTTTAGCTTTTGTTTTAGTTTATTTTTATTTTATCATCATCTCCATTCCACAGATAACAGTGCAGAAATTCAGAGATATCAAAAAAATTAAAACGCCATATTACTGCACTGCTTATAAACCAGCTGTTTTCCCCATGCTGTATTTTATATAATTACACACTTTATGTACAATTTTCAATGTTTTTTACTTAATGTACTTGAGTTTTTTATCATTCATCAGTCTTTTATGTACTTGTCTCAGATATTTTCTATTTTTTGCCTAATATTTCAGAAGCCACAAAGAAGTATACACGCTGCTCTGCTTCTGAATTTTTGATTTCTGACACTTTGGCATGGGACCTTAAAAAATTAAATACAATTTACTTACAGGATTTACATAGCTCTTGGGTCAGATCAGTGACAGTTGTATACCCCATTTTGAAAGTTGTGTAGTAATTCACATTACCCCCCAGAGTTCTCTCATGTCTTATTCAAGTCAGTCTCCTACCCATGTGTAGGGACAATGGAAGTTTCCGTGGCCAGGACCCTCTCCTGACCCTAATCTACTTGCCCAGTGCACACGTGCAATGGTGTAATGATTGGCCAACTGCACAGGCACGTGCTTACAGACGTGTTGGCAATGAGCCGTTATTGTCTATAAAGACCTCCCCCCAGTGCTCTTGGCGGGTTGTGGAGGCAAAGGCAGAGACGGATTGCAGGCTTGCGATACAGATGTGATTCTAGAGCTTGACCTGCCATCATGAGAATAAAGCTTGGTTGGCATGAGACCTTTTACCCCCAACGTTCTGTTGCCATTATTCGGTCTCATTGAGTCCAGAGCACACTTGCCCACAGTTGGAAACCTCTGGTGAGACACCATGGGAGGCATCTACTGTTCTCATCTGTCACCATGTGATTAGGTTTACTTGTCATCAAATTAAATATAATTAGTGAAAACATACAGCATGTACTCTTATGTCTGGCTTCTATCTCTCAGCATAATATTTTCGAGATTGATTTATGTAACTGCATATATCAGTAATTCATTCCTTTTTATTGCTGAATTGCATTCTATTTTATGAATATATTACAGTTTGTTTATCCTTCTGGAGAGTAAACAAAATTTCCTTTTCAAGGACACGGGTTGTTTTGCATCTTTTGATTGTTATATATACAGCTCCTGTGAGCATCCTTGTGCAGGTCTTGTGAACATATGTTTTCATAGTCTCTTGGGTAAACATCTAGAAGTGAAAAAGCTGGATTTGTAGGGTAGATATAAATATAAACTATTTTCCAAAGTGCTTGTACCGTTTTACAGTCCTCCCAGCAGTGTATGAGTTCCAGTTGCTGTACGTCTTTGCTTTCATTTGGTGATGTAGCTCTTTTTTATTTTAGCCATTCTAATGAAATGGGACATCTTATTGTGATTGTAATTTGTATTTCCCTCATGGTAAATGACGTTGAATGCTTTTTTGTATGCTTTTGCACTATTAGTATACCTTCCATTGAAAGTTTCTGGAAGTCATTTGCCCATTTTAAAAGTTGGCTTCTTTTTATTGTTAATGAAGGAGTTCTTTGTATATTCTGAGTTCAAGTCTTTTGTCAGATATACATATTGTGAAGAATTTTTTCTATTCTGTGGTTTTCCATTCAGTGGTTTGTAATTGTGTCTTTTAAAATCATTTTTTAGTTGTAATTTACATATAATAAATGCATTTCATCGGTTTTGACAAATAGAGATGCCCTCGTGACCACTGCCACAATCTGGCCGTTGACCATTTCCATCACCACAGAGTGTTCCCTTTGCCCTTCCCAGTTTTAACCCAATCCCACACCCTTAGCTATAGGCAACAACTGGTTTACTCTGTATCACTACAGATTAATCTTTTATTGAGTTTCATGTAATTGGAATTATACAGTATGTACCCTTTTTGTGTCTGGCTTCATTTGTTCATCATAACGTTTTTGTTACATATCAACAGTTTGTGCCTTTTTATTGCTGCATAGTATTTCATTATATGGGTGTACCACAATTTGGTTATCTACTCACCTGCTGATGGACATCTGGGTTGTTCCTAGTTTTTGGGTGTTTTAAATCAACTTCTAGAAGCATTGTATACTAGATTTTGAAAGAGCACAGATTTTTTTTTCTTTTTTCTTTTTTGATAAATTCCTCAGAGGAGAATCTCTGGTTAACTTTTTAAGAAGTTGCCAAATAATTTTCCTTGTAGTTGTACATTTTACATTCTCACCAGCAATGTGTTAGAGTTCCAGTGAGCTCCACATCCTTTCCAACATTTGATATATTCAGTCTTAAATTTTAGCCACTCTAATGACAGAAGTGTAATGACATGTCATTGTGGTTTTAGTTTGCATTTTCCTGATGCCTAAGGATGTGGAACATCTTTTCTTCTGCTTTTTGGCCATTTGTGTATCTTCTTTTGTTCAACTATTTTGCTATGGATTTTAAAGCAGCTATCATAAATATTACAGTAAGCAATTACAGACATGCTGGAAATAAATGAAAAAATAGAAAATCTTAGCAAAGAAATAGAAGCCATAAAGAAGAACCAAGTAGAAATTTTAGACCTGAAAAATACAATAAATGAAATAAAAAAAGTGGATGGGCTCAACAGTAGAATGAAGGGACAGAGGAAAGAACTTGAATACAAAAAAAAAGAGAGAAAGAGAGAGATTATTTAGTACAAATAAAAGAGAAAAATAGACTAAAAAAAATACCAAACAGCCTCAGAGACCCATGTGATTATAACAAAATATCTAACATTTATGTCTTCGGGTTCCCAGGGGGAAAAGAGCAGGAGGTTAGGACTGAAGAATTATTTGAAGAAATATGGTTGAAATTTTCCCAAATGTTGCAAAAAACATAAACGTATAGATTCAAGGCACTGAGTGAACCCCAAGTAGAACAAATCCAAAAAAGTCAATCAACACATGTTATAGTTAAGCTTCTGAAAGTTAGTTAGAAAGAAAAACATTTTAAAAGTAATCAGAAATGATAACTGTAAGGGGAAAACCATTCAAATGACAGGTAGATTTCTTATCAGAAACCCTGGAGGCCAGAAAGAAGTAGCACATTATTTTTTAAGTGCTGAAAGGAAAACCTGCCAACTCAGAATTCTGGAGCCTGTAAGAATATCCTTCAGGGATGAAGGGAAATCAAGACATTCTTAGTTGAAGGAAACTGAATGTATTCGTCACCAGCAGAGCTGCTCTAAAAAAATAGCTAAAGGAAGTTCACCAATCAGAAAGGAAAGAAAATAGAAAAAGGCTTGGGATTTCAGGAAGGAAGGAAGAAAGAACAATGGAGTAGGTAAAAACAGGGATAAATATAGTAGACTGTCTTTCTCCTCAGGTTTTCTGTTATGTTTGACAGTTGAGAAAATCATACATAACATTGATGTAGTTCTAAATGTATGTAGAATAAATATTTAAGGCAGTTATAAATAGGTTAAAGAGACAAGGGGAGGTAATCTTTTACATTTCATTCAAACTGGTAACATACTGACAGCAGTAGACTGGCAAGTGATATGCTTATAGTGTAATACCTACAGCAATGACTATAAAAGCTGTACAAAGAGATATACTCAAAGACACTATAGAAACATCAAAGGGTAGTTCCAGAAATGTCCAAGTAACACACAGGAAAGCAGGGGGGAAACCAGAAACCAAAAGAAAAAAAAAAAGTGGGGGAAAAATAAAATGACACGACTAAGTCCTAACATAAGAATAACTCTAGGTATAAATGGTCCAAATTTGTCAGTTAAAATACAGAGATTGGTATTATGGGTTAATAAATATAACCCAACTATGTACAGCCTATAAGAAACTTATTCAAAAAATATAGGCAAGTTGAAATTAAAAGAACGAAAAAGATATACCATGCAAGCATTAATCAAAAGAAAGGGTAATCATATGCTTACCAATCATAATTCTATTAATAATAGCTAATATTCATTGAGGACCTACTGTGTACCAGGTGTGTATGTTCTAAGCACTGTCCAGTAAAACTTCTCTGATGATGGAAATGTTGTATATTGGGCTGTCCAAGATGGTAGACCCTAGCTACCTGTGGCTCTTGAGCACTTGAAATGTGGCTAGTGCAACTGAGGGAGTGAATTTTTTGTTTTATTTTAAAATTACATAGTCACATGTACCTAATGGCTACTGAATTAGTACAGTTCTAAGAACTTTGTACATATTGATTTATATGCCTAAGAACATTCTGATATGGGTACCATCATACAGATGAGGAAATAGATTCAGGGTTTTGTCTGGATAAGGTCATGCAGCTTGTAAGGCACAGAACTTTGGGATTTAAACTGAGGCCCAACAGCAGTAGACTCATAGACACTGAGAAGCAACTGGTGGTTACCGTGGGGGAGAGTTGGCGTGAGGGCAATAAAGAGGCACAAAAATCTTTATCATAATACAAGTTGGTCATGGGGATGGAAGTGCAGCAAGGAGAATATAGCCAGAAGTTCTGTAACCTCGTCCTATGTTGACAGATAGTAACTGCACTAGGTGGGGTGAGTATTTAATAATGTGTATAACTGTTGAACCACTGTGTTGTATACTTGAAACCAATGTAAGATTATATATTAATGATACATCAGTAAAATAAATACACTTAATAAATAGACATTCTGGCATGAGAGACTGTACACATGGGCTCTTTGAATCATAGATAGCTGGCATGTGCCTTGAGAGCACAGAGGAGCCATTGCATAACTCCACAGGGAGGGTGATTGAAGGCCTGTTGGGTCGTCACATTGTAACAAAGTGACATTACCCAGACTTAGTGAATGTACGAGTAAGAACAGAGAGACAAAAATGTTCAGACTCCTTTGGGACGAAACTGACCTACCATTTCTGGGACGGTTTGGTAGTATCAGTCAAATTATAAAATGTGTATAACCCATGACTCAAGACATACAGTTCTAGGGCACTTACTGTGGGAATATTCACACATGACACCAAGTTAAATACACAGGGATTATTTTTTAATTGCATGTACTTTTGATATGACTGTAGAAACTTAGTGTATGGAAGTGGCATGGGGAGTGGAGAAAAGGAGGTCCTTCCCACCCATCCTCTCCACCTCTCCACTCAGGGCTGCCCCTCTCCAGAGGCCATTGGTCATAAGATTGAGGTTGTGTGTGCTTGATGTTATAGGAGGCAGTGACCTTCGAGGACGTGGCTGTGGTCTTCAGCAAGGAGGAGCTCCGGCTGCTGGACGCCCCCCAGAGGCAGCTGTACCGAGACGTGACGCTGGAGAACTTCCGGAACCTGGTCTCTGTGGGTGAGGACGGGCGCCCTCTGTAACTCAACGTCAGCTCCTTGGCGTGTCTTGGCCTCAGATGTTTAAGACCTCGGGGCTCTTGAAACACTTCCTCAAACCTGGGGGTCTGAATTTCTGATTCCTGTGGGACACCTTGCCTATACCTTGTCTGTTTTTGTTTTTTTTTTAAATTACAGTTGAGACATCTTAGTGGGGTTTAAAATCACTTGGTGAGTTACATCATTATTGTGTTTCATGAAATAGGACAGAAATAGTATAGCTCCTTGTGAGGAACTGCACACAGTGCAACAAAAAAATTGTGATTAAAAACCAGGAAAGGAGATGTGATAAAAGTAGGCAATGTCTAGGATCACATCACTCAATTCCTTGATGCAGGGATACCCATCTGTGTATATGTGCACTGCGTCACAGCATAAAAGGTGCTTATTACAACAGGTCACGATCAGAATTGGGAAAAATACTACTTAAAAAGCATGAAAATTATAGTATTAGAATGAAAAGCTTCGCCTTTAACATACTCACTTTATATATGTGCCATTTCTTTTTCATAGGCTATGAACCCTTCCAATTAGACATGATACTGCAGCTGGGGAGAGAAGAGAAGCTTTGGATGACAGAGTCAGAAACCCGAGCCGGGAGTTCAGGTGAGAGGCCTGCGGCCCTGGGCCCCCCTCCCGCCCTCCACGCGCAGGCAGCGCCGTCCCCCAGTGCCCTGCCCTGCTGCGGCGGCTTTCTCGTGCCTCCCTGCTTCCGCCTTCCTCCCGTCTGTTCTCCACAAAGCAGCCGGATCATGTAGGTCAGCCCATGTCTCAACTTTTTTCACTCTTCTGTGACTTCCCGTCTCACTCAGTACAATCCAGAACCCTCGTGGTGGCCTTCTGGGTCCTACAGGATCGAGCCGCCACCCGCCTCTGGATTGATTTGCTTTCTTCCTGCCCTGTGCGCAGCCCCTTCCCTGCGTGGGACAGCTTTCTATTTTGTGGATGAGCAGAATGTGCTTCTATTTCAAGGCCTTTCGCTTGCCCTTCCGTCTGCCCGGGAGGTTCTTACCCTTTACATCCTCCTGGCCCCCTGACTCATTTCAGATCTGCTCAGATGTCCGCTCATCACAGAAGCCTGCTCTCATTGCTCTTATTTAAAGATTTTTTGGCAAACATCAGAATATCCCAGCATTTTGTATCTAGGTGCTGTGCTCTGTCTATAAAGAACATCCTTGAGGCCAGTATTCACTGTACTAAAGGGTTTCATCTCCTTTAATGATTCTTACAAACAAAAGCTTACAAAGAATGGTGCCAAGTATCTCCCTGTCCTTACTCCTCCTGAGACCACTCACCAGCAGAAAATAAACCAGGGTGCTTAAAGGATTGTTTCAGAACGCTGTTAATCTTCTGATGAACATCTAACCTAAGTATAATTTCTCTGGTCCTTGTATTAGTTCTCTATTGCTGTATAACAAATAACTCAACCTCAGCAACTTAAAGGAATAAACATTACAGTTTCTGTGAATCAGGAATCTGGGGGCAGCTTGGCTGGGTGGCTCTAGCCCAGGATCTCATAAAGCTGCTAAGGATTCCAGAGCTTTAGCCCTTTGAAGGCTTAGCGGGACTGAAGGGTGTGCTTCCAGGATGGGCTTATTCACAGTTGTTGGTGGGAGACCTAGTGCCTCGCCAAGTGGGCCTCTCCCTAGGGCTTCCCTCGTGTCCTCAAGTCATGGTAGCTGGTTTCCCCCCAGTTGCTTAACACCCAAGAGAGTTGAAGGCATTTGAAACCACAATTTTTTTATGACCTAAACTTCACAGTGACATACTGTCACCTCTGTCATATTCTGTTGGCCTCATAGATAAATTCTGTTATATTGTGGGTGGGGACTTCAACGGGCTGTGGGTACCAGGAGGCAGGGATCATTGGGGATCATCTTGTATGCTGGCTACCACAGTACCTTTCGGGAAGCACAGGTATATATCTACAAAACCTGGAAGATAATGTTAGCTATTCAGGTTTATCATAAAATTCAGCCAAATTAAGTGTTAACAATTATTATAGGATTTTTATTCCCCTAGGATGAGTGCATTATAGGAATACGTTTTCCAGTTTTTTTTCCAGTTATAATGTTCACCAGTTGAATATTATATACTAGGACTTCACTGAAATGAAGGAGAATTCTCTCAAGTCCAGCTTGTTTAACAGGTGTGCTTACTGTTAAACAATAAAGAAATAAAGTTACCATCTCATAGGTTCATTATCAGGACAGAGGAGGTACTTGTAGATACATTCTTTTCACTTTTGCTGAGGACATCCCCTCTTTCTCTTCTTGGGAACTCTTGACATCACATGATAATCCATCTATAAATGCTGAAAGACAGATCCAGGCTTTTCTAGCCACTTTTGGCTTGCTGGCCATATACAGATATGCAATCCTGATTCTGAGACAAATAGTCAGAATTTTGTAGATCCTATACTATATATATACCTGCTGCAGAAAAGAGAGAATTTCTAACATTATTCTTATGGACAAGGAAGTAACATTCTCCTTTGTAAAAATTTCTCCTTTGTAAAAATCTTTCTAGGAAAGCTTTTTGTTTCTCTGTAGCCTCTTCTTTCAATTTTGACCTCACACATAAGTCTTGGTATAGTTCAAAATGAGTCTCCTTACCACATAGTAGGTAGAAGCCCACTCATCATCTCCTTTTTTTTAAAGGCACGAAAAAAATCAATGATAAAGTCAAGCTGAACTCTCCACTGATTGAAAATAAGGTCTCCCAATGTGGTCAAGAAATATCTTTATCTCTCAACAAACATTCATTTGTCCTCACCTTCACCTCTGAATTTTCTTTATCCTTCCAGGAAACAGGAATAAAAATGAGATAGAAACTCTTCAAGAAGTAGGCTTAAAGTGCCTTTTACAAGAAGACCTTCTGTGCTGGCCAATGTGGGAACAGTTTATAAAGAAATTAACCAGAAATCAAGACTTGACAATAAATCTGCAAGACAAGAGGTCCAAATTGCCAGAACAAGGTGATTGCTGTCAGGAGTGGGCAGGAAGCTATTCTGGAGAACCTATTCAGGTTTCTGAGGATGAGAACTGTATAATAAAGCTTCCAGGGGAGAGTTCCAATAGTGTACAAGAGTTTCCAATGAAGACCATCTGGGATTTCTGGAAGAAAATGTACCTGAGAGAGTCACAGCATCATCAGAGTAGTTGTCAGCAAATTGATGTCAAAAATAAACTGTGTCAGTGTGATCATTGTATTCTGAGAAAGACCCCTTTTCACCATGCTGGTCAGGAAGTACACAAACGTGTGAGGGCTTGCTGCCACAATGACTGTGGGAAAGACTTCATGAAGAAACCATTACAGCATGGTCCACTCCACTCAGGAGAGCAACCTCCCATTAAGAATGGAAAACGGTTTGGCCTTGGCTTTGATCTTGAACTTCATCAGCAATTGCACCTAATGAAGAAGTCCCATACACGTAGTGAGTGTGGGAAAGGCATCAGTTACAGCTCAGAGCTTTGCATTCATCAGAGTGCTCACACAGGAGAGAAGTGCTGTGGGAATGAGGAGTGTGGTGAGGACTTCATTCTGAGCTCACATCTGCAAACTCGTCCTAGAGTCAGCATACGAGAGAAACCCTATAAAGGTCAGGTGTGTGCTAAGAGCTTCAATCAGAACCCTTCTGTCACTCATGAGCCCACTCACCCAGGAGGGCATATGTGTAGGTGTGACAGGGGTGGGAAGGGTACCAGTCATAGCTTAGGTCCTAATACTCACTGTGTAGACAACACTGGAAAGAAATCCTGTAATTCTGAGGTGTGTGATAAAGGCTTCAGTCAGACATCACAACTTCAAGCCCACCAGAGAGCCCACCCCAGAGACAAAACATACAAATGGGAGGCATGTGACAGGCTATTTAATCAGATTTCTGGTCCCCATCAGAGAGCTCATGCTAGAGAGAAGCTGTATAAATGTGAGGTATGTGGGAAGGACTTCAGTAAGGCCTCAAATCTCCAAGCGCATCAAAGAATTCACACTGGAGAGAAACCATATAAATGTCATGTGTGTGATAAGAACTTCAACCAGAATTCCCATCTTCAGGCCCATCACAGAGTCCACACAGGTGAGAAGCCCTACAAATGTGAGACATGTGGTAAGGGCTTTAGTCAGAGTTCACATCTTCAAGCCCATTGGAGAGTCCATACAGGAGAGAAACCCTACAAATGTTTTGACTGCGGTAAGGGCTTCAGTAAGAGTTCATGTCTTCAAGTTCATCAGAGAGTCCATAAAGGTGGTAAGTCCACTGCACATGATGAGTGTGGTAAAAGTGTTCTTCAGAATTTAGACTTCTCATTTTCATCGGAAAACCTACACAGCAGAGAATGTTTATAAAATGTGTTTTAAGAATTTGGAAGTAAGCTGAGTTTTTTTTTTATAGTCATCTGAATTCCACTGGAGGAAACCTATTGTATAGATATGACCAGTGTTTCCAACAGAGCTCAAAGTGTCACATTTCTCTAAAGAATGCAAAACAGAAACCCTATAAGAATGGTACAGTATGTTTCAATCAGAACCTTCATGTTCAATAGAATCTATATGGGAGAGAGGTCTTAAAAATGGTAAGTAAGGGAACAACCTAAGACAGGCACAGTCACAGGGGGCCATCAGGTGAGAAATTGGGGCCCAACAGAGGTGAGGCTTAGAACCTCACCCCCCTGTTTTGAGAGAAATCTTCTGCATCCGTGGATGTTTTGTTGCCCTTGTCTAGCTCGGATTAATACTTAGTCTACAGGCACACCCTGATCATCTACATTTGCCCTCTTACAGCACTAAACTATGTTTTCTACCTTTATCTTGCATCTACCTACCACTGCAGCATTTTATTTAAATAAATAAATAAATAAAAATAAGGGAGAAATGTGGGATTCACATATAAATCAAGTATAAAAATTAAATGAATAATCATATCTGACTTGATTGTTTATAGTTCATGATGCGTGATCAAAACCAAAGTTTCTGTCATGACCGCCCTTGCACTGTTCACCATGTAAGAACTTATTCACTATGTAAGAACTTGCTCACCATGTAAGTACTTGTTCGTTATGCTTCAGAAGATTGGAGACTGTTGAGAGTTAGGCTTGGGGTTGATTAATGATTGTGCATTGAGTCCCCTATACAGAATTTTATTATTGTTAACCATTTGATCAATAAATATGAGAGATGCCCTCTCAAAAAAAAAAAATGGTAAGGTCAGGACTTTGGCTAAAGTATAATGATACACATAACAAAATCCACATCCACTCGAATGTAAGCTGCATGAGGACAGGAAGTTTGGTCACTGCTAAATGACCATGACCTCTAACCAGTGCCTAACAAATAGTAGTTGCCCTGAAAAGGTCTAACTTGATGGAGAAGAAAACACTGTTATAAACAGGACAAATATTTTAAAATTGTAATGAGCTCAACCCCAAAGTAAATTGTACAAGGAAATGGATTCTTGGAAGAAGCCTTAAAAATTCATTCAAGGAAATGATCACTTAATAAAAATACATAAAATCCTGCAATCTGCAGTTTGTACGATTTTTGCAGTTGGCTCCTATCCTCTGCTCAGCTTGACTTTTCAAGAAATAATGGGCTAAAATCTGTATTGTTACGTTTAAGGCTTTCTCTGTGCGCGGGCCATCAGCTGTGTATAGTGTCAGCTTCACTGTCTTAGTCTTCTGGGTCTTTTGTGATAGGAGCAGACTGACTGAAAAAAGAGAAGTTTGTTTTTAATTCCATAAAGCTTCCTGAGAAAGGGGTGTGGGAATAAAGGGAACGTATTACAGCATGAACTCTGGATGTTGAACTAAATTGTTAAGGATGAGAGTTTTGGACACCATCCCATGTGTCTCAGATGCTGCAGGATTGAGTTTGCTCGGTGCATATTTACTAGAGGTAAGGGGCAGTTTCCCACAGTTTATTTTCCTTGACCTTATCTTCAAGGACACTAGACACTTCACTTCCCTGATACCTCTAGTTCCGTGTTACCTCAGGAATCCAGGGCTGGTAATGCTCTGCTGTGGTGTCACCAAATACTAGGGTGGACCCCTAGATTCTAGAGCTTACGCTTATTTTTATCAGGATGTTTTCAGCTGTAAGAAACAGAAAACCCAAATGAAAGTAACTGAGATAAAAGGAGGATTAATTGGTGTGATAATTTAAAAATCCATACAAATAGGGCAGGGGATAGGCCTGGTTGAAAATTAGTCTGGATCGATTGTTTTGTGATTCCCTCTCCTCTTCCCTTCTGGTTGAGTTGATTCCCACATTTGTTCATTCCAACCACTGATAGGAAATTTATTGAAAGAATTTATGCTCTGTTAACTTTCTTATAGCACCTCCACTTGTAAAGCAGTTGCTTGCTAAACCTCTTCTATCAGTTACATAGAGGCTTGGCATTTTCCTAAATATACCGCATCTAAATCATAACTGTGAGTTACGATTTTAATCATGCATTGGTGTTCTGGAGAATTTCTTTTTCCCCAGAGTAAAATTAGATTTATTTTCTAAAAATAAAAATAATACCTGAAATTTTTAAGCAGAATAATGCAGAAAAAGACTAAAACGGGTAACACTGCTGACATACACACATTTTATTTAACATTTTTAGGCTATCTATTCATATGGATACAGATTAATTTTACAAAACTAGGATAATAGGCATACTATGTTATGACTTGATTTTCTTCACTCATCAATACGTAGGAAACATTTCCTGTCAATATTGATCTCTAACATTTCAATTGTGCAGCATTCTGGGACGTAGATGTATCATGTTTTAACCGGTTTCCTACTGATTAATGTTCAGTTTGTGTCTTCTAAAGAGCAGTTCAATGAAAAACTTAGGACAGTAACTTTCATCTTCATGCTCTTGAATTGTTACTTCCTCGGAGGAAATTTCCGAATTAGTGCTGTGTCAGAGAATAACCACTTTTCGATTTGGTGTATACCGTGCAGCTCTCTTCCAGAAGCACCCAAGACTACCTAGTGGCCCAGCCCTCTTGAGTAACAGATACACAATCTGGACTGGATAAAGCCGGCCTCCCGGTACTCTTCTGCCTAACAAGAAAAGAAACCCTCTGGATAAAGATGCCTCCACATATCTTTATAAGCAGTGCTTGGCATAAAACCCAAAATCAACTAGTCTTTCCAAGATAAATAAAGAGTAAGTGATCTAAAACAAAGAGAAAGGTGATAGAAGATCACATCAGAGTGATCCAGACATTGGAGTTAATCAAATCTGGATTTGAAAATAAGGTAGTGAAAACATGGAGGATTTCACCAGAGAACTGCAGTCTATTGAAAGGAATCAAATAGTCCTAGATTTGATAAATAACAGTAACTTTCATTAGAAATTTAATTGATGGGTTGGGAAGCAAATTGAATGTGGCTACTGTTATTTATTCTCTTGCCTGAGAGCTCAGTAGCCTGCGAGCCCATGCAGGGCAGACACTGGTTCTGTTGTGATGTCTGTGAGGCGATGCTGACAGGATGAGGCTCGGAGGGTGGGTCCCAGACACAAGTCTTGCTTTTGAAAGTCAAGCCAAAAGCCACATCGGTGAGAATCCTTCCTGAGATTTCCTTCCAAATCAGTAATTCTGGAACTTACTGGTAATCAGGACCTGGGTAGTGCAACTGCACTGGGGGGACTTAGAAAAGATTTGATTCAAAAGCTGGGGAGAGGTGGGAATAACAAGTCTGTGGGGTGGGGGCAGTCTGTTGAGGGTGACAAAAAAGAAACGATATCTTAAGGAAAAGGGTGTGTGAGTAAATGTTCCTGGTGAGGAGGAACCAGTAGTCAAGCTGGTTAAATGTTACACTTCCTGACAGGTTACGCCCCGACTAGTCCAGGAGGGTCAGGCAGACCTGGCATTGTGGATTTTTCTGTCATATTTGCCTTCTGTTCCCAGAGGAGGACAGTTCAACAAATTCCACGGAGGTAAGATTGCTCTCTTAAACACCTTGCCCATTCTCAGAGAATGGACGTGTCTGTCCAGAAATGGAAGACATCTCTCCAGGATGAAAGAAGCTTAGCATCCATTGAGGGAAACTGCAGGGTCACCATTCTTACAGTACTGAAGCCTCAGGTAAGTGATAACATTCCCACTGTAACATTAGGAAATAGGCTCAGGGAGTTGAAACGATTGCCCTTGTTCACACAGGTTTTGAACAAGCTCTCAAAATTCAAGATTTTAATTCTTAAATATGAAGAATTTCAAGAATACTAGAGAAAATGTAATGGAACATATCAACCCCTAAATTCAACAGTCACCAAGATTTTGACACATCTGCTTAATCTGTCCCTTTTCCCTTTTTATCTTAAATGTTGAAATAATTTAGAGCAGATCCCTGATACATCATTTCACACCTACCTTACCTACTTCAATATTCTCATCTTTTAAATATGGACTTTTAAAAAATCCATTATCACACCTAACAAAATTAATAATCCAATTTCTGTGACTGCTTTAGATTTTTATTTTGGAGTTGATTTAGTCTGTAGTTTTCTTTTTTCTTCTTTTTCTTTTCTTTTTGTACTGTCTGTGTCTCATTTTGGTATCAGGATAATATTGGCCTCTACTTTCTGGAAGAGGCGGTATAGAATTGTCTCTGGTTACTTACATGTTGGGTAGATGTTCTTCCGTGGAACCATCTGGGCTTGGATGTTGTGCCCGAGGGCACAGATGTGGAATCAAACTGCTCAGGTTTAAATCCTGGTGTGACCACTTAACGGTGTGTGATCTTAAACAGGTGAATGAAACTCTCTCTGCCTCTGTTTCTTCATTGTAAAATGAGGCTAATAGTTGAGATGTTAGAATAAATGACTTAATACATGTCAAGTAAAGGAAACTGTACCCAGCTTGCAGTAACCACTCATGGATCTTTGTCTCTGTGGTCTAACACATGGTACACATACTGTAAATTAAATTCTTGTTACACACCAAAAGCAGTCCACTGAGATCAAGAGTAACACAAGAATGTCTACTATCATTCTCTCCATAATACAGATTTTCACTAGTATAATGAAATAAGGCATAAGGATTAGAAAATTGTCATTATTTGCAGATGACATCATTATGTATGTAGAAAATCCAAAAGAATCTACAAATAAAATATTTGAATTAGTAAACTTAGGCTGCAATATACAATGCCAACATAAAAATTCAGTGGTATTCCTAAATACTAGCAACAGTTAGAATATTAGAAGAATTTATAAAGAAATATAAAAAGCATACTTTTGATATAAAAAGTATCAAGAACCCAGGACTAAACCTAATAAAACAAATATGAAATCTACAGAGGAAAAAAAAAATACTGAGAGAAGTTGCAGACCAAAATGAATGACAGTAAAAAGATACCAAATCTCTCCAAATTGATCTATAGATTCAATACAATCCCAATAAATAAGATTTTTGTGTGTATGTGCAGAAAATGATAAACTCATTCTAAAATAAACAGACATTTATTAAAGGGCCAAGAACAGTGAAAATGATCTAGAACAATATAACTGGGGGAGTTATGCTGTCAAATGTCAAACCTATTATAAAAATACAGTTATTAAAACAGTGTGGTGCACAATAATGGACAACAGATCAAGGAACCGGTTCCTGTATGGTAGGCCCCTGCTGTCCAATAAAGGATCCATGGCGACATAGTGCAGGCAAGACGATCACGTCAATAAATGGTATTG